TTGTATGATGTGTTGCATTTTTCTCCGAAGGATATTGATAGAGCAGTTCTCTTTGCAACTAATAATGCTCTTGTATGTGAAACACCTGAAGATGCAAATAAAGTAGCATATGAGATGGACAAGAAAACAAGATATGATGTAAGTATATACGCGTTATTTACTTAAATCAAGCTATAAAATCATAACTAAACTATGATATATGTAAAATATTTACAGTGCGTCGCATTAGACGGTACATTTTATCAGAAAGCTGGTATAATATCTGGCGGTAGTTTGGATCTTGCAAAGAAAGCGAAAAGGTGGGATGAAAAACAGATGTCTCAATTAAAGGCGCAAAAGGTAATATATTTTTTATTTCTATGTATTATAAAGATAAAAATATATTTTAATTTTGACTACTACGATTATTTGAATTATTTTAATTTTGTTTATAGGAAAAATTAACGGAAGAACTGAGAGAATCTTTGAAAAAATCACGCAAGGAATCTGAATTGAACACAATTGAATCTCAAATACGTGGTTTAGAAACTCGTCTAAAATACAACAAAAGCGACTTGTCTGCAACAGTAAGTATTATCAGGAAGTTACTGTAATTATTTACTTAGTTACTTACTTACCTTGTTGTAATAACAAGGTTTGATAATGATGTTGCGATCTTTTTATGATGATAATGTCATGAAAAACATCAGAGTTGAAACAATCAATAGTTACTTATAACAGGTTGGAGTCATTCGTTATTGAAAAACTCGAAATTTGTAACTCCTTACTTTTTAGTGTAACTTATAACGGGGTAACTCTTTACGGCGTTACTTATTACTTAGTACTTTTTTCAATAAGTAGCGCGTAATGATGAGAATTTATTTTTCAAAGTGATTTTCTTAATCTTAGCGTAACTGCAACATTTAGTTAGTCATCATTATACAAAAAATTGCGACATCGTTATGAAATTGTTATTACGAAATGTAACTGTAAAAGTTACAGAAAAATAACCATTTCCTGAGTATTTTATATATTGGAGTACACAGAGTGAATAAAAAATACAGGACCTGTGACATATTTTGGAAACAAAGCATTTTTGAGAAAAATGGTTCAAACAAAAGTTGTATGGTTTGAAAAGCTCTATTTACTGATCACATCTTTGATTTTGGGCAACAAAAATGTTTTGTTTTTTGTGATATTTCACCGGACTTTTTACTTACCTTGTATATGTTGTTTTTGTAACATATACAATAGTTTTAAAAAGTACAACATAATTTTAAAAAATAATGAATAAAATTTTGATTGTAGCAAAAACAAATTACGGATCTTGAAGCGGAATTAGATGGTCTGCAAAACGAGTTAAACATGTTTGGTGTAAGCTTTGTGATACGTTTTATATACGCATACATATATTTATTCATATTTAAATAAAATATTTCAATATTTTCTATGCACAGCCTGCAATAGCTGCTATCGAGAAAACCATGGCTGAAAGAGACCAAGAAATACAAAACATTAAAGAAAAAATGAACAATGTTGAGGATGACGTGTTTGCTAGTTTTTGTGAACAGATAGGAGTTTCCAATATCCGTCAATATGAAGAAAGAGAATTAAGGTACGAAGGAATTATTAGATAAGTATTGTCTTATAAGTATTGTTTTAAATTTAGATACTAAAGTATATTAATATTCCAGATCGCAACAAGAAAGAGCAAAGAAAAGAATGGAGTTTGACAATCAATGCAATCGTATTTATAATCAACTGGATTTTGAGAAACAGCGCGATACAGAAAGTATGTTGTGAAAATATATTATTTCATTTTATACATTCTATGTTTGTGATGAGCTTTTATATTAATATTATGTATAATATAGGCAATGTTTTACGATGGGAACGAGCGGTGCAAGATGCAGAGGATAAACTGGAATCTGCAAAACAAACCGAATCTAATCAAAAAGCAGAGATCGACCACGACGAGCAGCAAATGGAACAATTGAAATCATCTCGTAATGCTAAAAAGATGGAGGTTGATCAGAAAGAAGATGAAATTGGTAAAGCTAGACGTGAAGTAGGAGCCATCGCAAAAGACATTCAGGCAGCTCAGAAGCAGTTTAACGCAATTGAAACAAAGATTGAACAGAAGAAAGCTGAACGACATGCTATCTTGATGCAATGCAAGGTTTGTTGTTAAGTCTTTGATATGAGATTATTTGACCATATAAATATTATGCATATTCTTTTGAATTATTCAGATGGAAGATATTGCAATACCTATGCTATACGGAAATATGGAAGATATAGCAGGTGAAACGAGCACTGTGAATGGAAGTGAAACTAATAATGATTCATCAGTAAGTACGCAACAACAGTATGAACGCGAAAGGAGGATTACCATAGACTATACGCTTTTGCCCGAAAATCTGAAAGATGTGGAAGAAGAGGATATCAAAAAGACAACCGACAAACTAACAAAAATAATCAATGATTTACAAAATACAATACAGCGCATACAGGCTCCAAATATGAAGGTTCGCAATAAATTGGAAATGATGTCGATAAATGTAAGAAGTTATAAAGACATAAAAATTTTTTCTCTTTTAGGCAATTCAAAAATTATATTTAGCGAAAGAGAAACTACAGGAGACTAATGAAGAATTTGAGCAGTCTCGTAAAAAAGCAAAGAAAGCAAAGACACAATTCGAGAAGGTGAAAAAAGAACGACACGACAGATTCATGGCGTGTTTTGAACATGTAGCGAACGAGATTGATCCTATTTATAAGGTTTGTGAAGTAATAAATTTATGTAAAATAATATATACAGATAAGTTTATAATTTATATAAATATATTTTATTATATATGTATATTTTTATATATATTATGGTTTCAGAGTCTAGCGAAGAATCAATCTGCTCAAGCATTCCTTGGACCAGAAAATCCTGAAGAACCTTATTTAGATGGCATTAATTATAATTGTGTGGCTCCTGGCAAACGGTTTCAACCAATGTCTAATTTGTCTGGTGGAGAAAAAACTGTCGCTGCACTAGCTTTGTTATTTGCAATTCACAGGTTCATATATTGATTTTGAATATAAAATTGATGATATAATTCGAATATGATGGATGATCAATTAACATTCACTGTTCGTTTATATTCAGTTTTCAGCCTGCACCATTCTTTGTTCTGGATGAGATCGACGCGGCTCTCGATAATACTAATATAGGAAAGGTGGCTAGCTATATTCGCGACAAAACAAGCTCACTGCAGACAATTGTTATATCATTGAAAGAGGAATTTTATTCGCACGCGGATGCACTTATCGGAATTTGCCCGGATGTAAGTAAATTGTTTGATTACATAAATCATTTTATACGTCTTTGTTAATATTTCAGTCGATTAAATTTATTATATGAATTATAGGTAGGCGAGTGTTTGGAGAGTAAAGTATTAACGCTTGACTTGACTACATCTCCTACACATGTTTCATAAATGTTTATTATTTAAAAAAGAGCATTTTCTTTTTTATATGTATACATATGTTTGTCATTAACAATTCTCAATTATGTCTTAGAAGAAGAATATATAAATACTGCAATGTATTATTATTTCTAAATTTGTTTATACGTTCTTTATTATTATTTTAAAATTATTGCAAAACTCTGCTATTATACTTTTTAATAAATTACATATACAGATCATGTACATCTATGTTATAAGTCAGAATAAAGGAGTGACCGTAATTGTGAGTGTGAGATACAAGGTATGTTGTGAACACAATGTAAATAACTTTAAAACTTGACTTTAATAAAAACTTGCAAACGAGTACTAAAATAAACGGTTTATTGCATTAGCAAGACATGTATGAGCAAGAATTTGTTACATGTATTTTGACAATATTAATAACAATAATAATGAAATAGTACTTTATTTCGCAACATTATACTTGTGTGTATTTTAATTTATTACACAATATACATTTATCATACAATATGCATTCTATTCTGCGAGTCTGCTTCACATATAAATAATAACGCGATAATTATATTTTAAATATCTGTCTATCATTGTTCATGTTACACGATCTCATTTTTATTGAAATATATTTTTGTTTTTATTATTTAAAGGTGTAACAATTTTTAAATATTTTGTTAATTCTCCGTTAATGGTTTGACTGTAACAGTTTTCTGGTTAAAAGGATTAGAAAAAGATGAAGGATAAGTTGAACTGATATTAAAGTTAATCTGCAATTGATAGAAACAGACAACAGTCACATTTTTTAATTATGAATTCTGATACATAAGTTTAAATCTATAAAAAATAAAATCCTACTTTTTATAAAACTCATAATTAAAATAAAAGCTTGTTATTAGAGCTTTTATAAGTATGTGTAAGAATATTTTCAGATTTTTATATAGGAAGATTAAGATTTAAGTATGTAGAGTGTATAAAGATAAAAAGGTCGCAGCTCAGACTTTTTTACGTAACGCATAATGCATAAAACATAAAGAATCAACCAATCAAAGTTCTTCTATTCTGTGAAATGAAAGGAAAGGATTCTGATTGATTGATTCTTTTATGCACTATACATTATGCTTTATGCAAAAGTCTGTGCTGCGGCCATAAAACTCGTTTCTTTCCTTTCCATGAAATAAAGAACTCTGATTGGTTAAATTTCTTATGCCTTATGTGTTATGCGTTATGCTAGAGTCTGTGCTCCCCACTTAAAGGATGAAAATTTCATTGTCGATAAAAGGTTAATTAGAGATAATGTAACTTTCTTTCCAAGAAATATGAAAAGTGAAAATTTTTATCATTGAAAATAATGGAGAAATTTTTCCACCACATTCCTAGAAAAGGGAAAAAGTTACATAACCATCCAGGAATGCGCACCACAAAATGCGACTTCGACACTTTGGTATTTGCAAATTGGTAACCCTGTTATTTCGAATTCGGAGTTTTCAGATTTTCAACGGTCATTTGCTCATCGATCTATTCATATTTGGTAAATGTTTTATTTTAACAATGTCGATTTCTTTAAATAGAATCGTCATTTCCAACTTTAAGTCGTTCAGCGGAAAAACTGTAATCGGTCCCATCCAGTCGTTTACGGCAATAATTGGTCCAAATGGAGCCGGTGAGATTCTTATGTTTTCTACAACGTTCATTTTATTTGATTTAAAATAAAATTATTTTCTTGCGTATTTAAATGTTTTTATTTTTCCACTTTTAAGTATAAGTTTGTTCGCGTCGCATGCTCCAACACATTCCGATATGCTCCTATCAGCTCTTACTTACTCCAACGTACTTGATAGAGTGAGTAGGAGCTATGGTAGGAGCATGTTGGAGCATGTTGGAGCTTGCGACGCGAGCAAATACTATATGTTAATTAACGTATATTTATAATTATACATCAAATAAATATGGATAATCTAGCTGTTTATTAAAATTATTAATATAGATTATGTATGTTTAATTTAACAACATTTATTATTTTATTTGATTTAATTCAATAAAATAATAAATAAGATTATTAAGATAAAATAAATTTAAATCTATTTAAATAGATATTTAAATTTAAATTTAAAATTTTTTTAAATAAATAAATTTAAATTTTTAATTTTGTTTCATTTTATTTCATGAAATTTTCTTTATTCCTTTCATATTCAAATCAAGATATACACTTTGCGTATTTTAGGAAAATCAAATATTGTGGACGCTATAAGTTTTGCATTAGGGGAGAAGCTGATTGCTTTACGTGTTAAACGCATCAACGAACTCGTTTATGGAATTTCTACTAGAGAATCAACGATGGAATGGTATTCAAGAAATATTTTTTTAATTTTTTAATTAACTTTATGTCATGTTAGATTTTTTAGATTATTTAAATATTTCTTTATTTTTGTATAATAAATAATTATATATCAATACAGGTCTTAAAATTAGCGATTCACAAAGCAAGAAAATTTTCAAAAAATTAAGTAAAAAGAGTTATTTGTAAATTTTTATTTTAAGCAATAATTCCTGATATATAAAGGTTTTTAGTACAGTTTTTACTTCGTATTGTAGAGTGTAGACAACGCATTAGTGAATACGCTGAGAGAGAGAGAGAGAGAGAGAGAGAGAGAGAGAAAGAGAGAGAGAGAAGTGAGGGCGCATTTCTTTAATACTACCATACGTGCGACTTATAGACATGTGGCTATAATCTAAACATAATCTATAATTGATCATATATTTATAAATAACATTTTTACTTAATTTTTTGAGAATTATTTTATAGTATTTTGAGTCATAAATTTTGAGATGTATAATTACTGTTTACTGTTACAGCGATACCTATGTAAAATTGATTTTCAATATAAATGCCTTAGACGGCATTAATAAAAAGAGTTTCACAAGAGCAGTTTATGGTGAAACTTATCAATACAAAATAGATGACAAGGTGGAATTCTACACAACATTGTTTACTGTCTTGTTAAATTATTTTTTTACTATATTAGTTGATATTAATAGTTCTTATCATACAGATTGTTACGAACATATGTTATATGACTGAATTGCGAAAAATTGGTTTGGACGTAAAGGCAGGGAACTTTTTGATACCTCAAGGTTACATCGCATGTGTCGCAATGAAAAAGCCGAAAGATCTAACCGCGATGTTTGAAAAGATTACTAATTCAAATGAGTACAAAGCAGATTATGATAGGTATATTTTTGTTCTAATTGATGGTATAATGTTTGTTGTGAAATTTGATAAAAGTAGGATACAACTTTCACTTTTTCGCGATTGTTCACAGATCTTTTTATTTCTACATTTTTGTTTTTTTTTTTTTTTTCATTGAAATCGAAAGTTATCGTAATAATGATGGTACCTTCAAAAAAATTTATATATTGAAATAAAGTTAATACAATCCTGATTTACATTACGAAATTATTATGAAATCCCTGTCCAATTATATATGCTTTAATCATTTAAAAACTAATTTAGAGTTGAATCAACAACTCTGAATAAGTTTTCGAATTATTGAAGGATAATTGACAGTGATTTTGTAACGCGATATGATGAATAAGGATTATATCAACTTCATTTCAATGTACCAATTTTTCCTTAAGTGTGGTGTCCTTATTATGATCATGAAGGAAAATACATAAGAAAAAATGTAGAAATAAAACTATCCCCTAATGGTTGCGTAAAAAGTTGTATCCTCCCTTACTGGATTTTGATAATATTACAGATTAAAATTAGAACTTTCGAACGTGGCAATAAAAATAAATTTTGAGAATAAATTGAAAAAACAGATATTGATTGAAAAGAAATACGCCATTATGGAAAAAGCAGAAACAGAAAAATATTTAAAGCTGAAAGAACAACGTGTATGTCTTACATATTTATTTTCAATCTATAATACATATATGTAAAAATCTTTATAAATTATTTATATTATAAAAATATTATTGCTTGTATCTTTCATATGTTCGTGATAAAATAATTATTTAACATTACAGGATGAGAACAAATTAAAATATCAATTAGTTCTATTGTTTTTTATTAAAAAGAGAGTTGAATTCTTGCAAGATAAGGAAAGAAAAATCAAATCACAAATAGATCAGTATCTACACGACAAGAAGAATGTAATAATTTTATTGGAAGATACAAAATCGCAATTTAAGACATTATCTAGTTCTCTCGAAGATATTGAACAAGATATCCTGAAAATGAAAAATATTATTGAACAGAGGAAGATAGAACACATTGTTTTCGAGGATGACATTTTATATTGGCAGAAAAAACGTGAAAGCGCTCGTATATCTCTAGACAGTGCGAATAAAACATGTGACACTAAAAAAAGAATCATCCAAGAATTAAATAATGAGTTAGAACGAATAGACAACGAATTAACAGAATTAAGGAAAGCGTCACAGACGAGCACTATAGAACTCAGTAACTCTCAGGTATACTGTGTACTATTGTTATATCTGTTATATCTGTTAGCACTTATATAATATCTGTAAATCTATAATAGTTTATGAAAAAAATATTTTGGTTTTTTATAATAAATTTTTTATAATAAATTTTTACTTAATATAACAATTTATACGTAAGGTTAAACGTTACATGGAATTGACGAACGAAGTTGAATGTCGAGCACAGAATTCTGTAAAACAAATAAAAAGCTTGATGCATGATCTGCAAGAAGATCACACTAAATTTGATAATGAAAATAGACGTAAAGAAGAATTAGAGGACAAAGAAAAGCAGATGATATTAAAGAAGATAAATCTTGAAACGCGATTCGAAAAATTGCAAGATTTAAGTACCAAATTCAAAGCAACTTTAATGGAAAAAACAGAAAAAATACAAGAACTAAATAAAAAAATTACTGAAACAAGGAATAAATTATTAAATCTGGAGAATGATATTGTAAAGATTACAGAGGAGCTTTCCGAGGCAGATATTGATAAGAATAGTATTTTGCATAGGAATAAGAAAAATGAAACAATCAATATGTTGAAACAGTTTTACTCTGGCGTGGTATTTTTACTAATTACTACTAGAATTTATATAATGATGATCATATAATGGATATAATCTATAAAAGTTAATATAATTTTATTTTTTAGTATGGTCGTTTATTTGACTTGTGTAAGCCTATTCATTCACGTTATAATGTTGCTGCAACTAAAGTTTTTGGTCAAAATATAAATGCCATTGTCGTTGATACCACGTACACAGCGATTCAGTGTATTCAACTTTTAAAACGAGAAAAAATAGGCATTGAAATATTTTTACCACTTGATTCAATAAAAAATATAATTTTAAATGAAAGATTACGGTACGTAATTTGAAAAAAAAATTTTTTACAATACAACATACAATATTGTTATATGTTATAGTGTTATAGAAGAACCGCAAAATGTTAAATTATTATATGATGTATTGAATATTTTATCACCACGTATAAACAGTGCGGTTTTATTTGTCACTAAAAATACTCTAGTTTGTGAGACTAGTGAACATGCAAGAATGTTAGCATATCCTGATGATAAACAGGAAGCATATGATGTAATAATATACATATTTATATATTTGAAAACGCAATAAATATTAAAAATATTTTAGGAATTAACAATTATGCATGAGGCGCACGTGCACACGTACGCGCACGTATATATTTTATTATTTTATTTATTATTACACTTTTATTATTTTATTCATTATTACAATTTTATTTATTAAATTACTATATATTTGTCACGTTTAGTGTGTTTCATTAGACGGATGTTTTTATCGTAAAGAAGGTCTAATGTCAGGTGGACAGGCTGATTTAATTGTAAAAGCAAAACAATGGGACGAACGACGAATATTAACATTGAAGGAACAAAAGGTTGTAAATTTTTTCCAAGATCGGTATACCGATGGTAATTAGTGATACATAGCAATTTATATAATTCGCACAATTTTTTAGGCACAATTAATGCGAGAACTCAGAAATTTACCTAAAATTTCTCTTATGCAATCTGAAGTTGATATAATTAATATAGAAATTAATGCACTCACACGCCAAAATAAATACGTAGAAACAGATATAAAAGATACTGTGTGTAATTAAAAGACAGGAATAGTTTATATTTTAATTTTATTATAAATGTACGACCAAGGTTTGTAAACCATTCATAAAACATATATCAGCAATTAACGCTAATATACGTTTTATGAATGAAGTTTACAGACCCTGCGTACGACCTGTTAGCAAATTATAATACATAAAATCTACATTTCTAGGAAAACAAAAGTGTTGAGATACAGAAGGAATTAGACATGATTGACGGAGAAAAAAATGCATTAAATGTATGTATTTTAATATATTTATATACATATGTAACTTGAAAATTTTTATTGATCTGTAAAGAAAGATATTTTCATTATCCGCAAAACTTTTAGCTGGCAATAATTGTAATTGATGACAATATGCAAAAAAAAAATAAAGAAATTAAAAATATGGAGAAATATATTAATTCAATTAAGAATGAAATCTTTGTTGATTTTTGTAACGATATTAATGTGCCGGATATTAGCTACTATGAGAACAATGATTTGCGGTATGAAATTTTTAGTTTAATGTATAATTTTTAATTTAGGTATACATATGTATAAGAAAATAAATTTAATAATATCAATTTTTAGAATTTATCAAGAGAAAAAAACGAGGCAACTGGAGCTTGAGCAACAATATAATCGTATCGAAAATCAATTGCGCTTTGAAAACAAAACCGATATAGAAAGTAAATTTTCAAATAATATCTTTGTTAATACAATACTCAACAAAAAATAGGGAACACTTTCGAACACGATCAAAATCGCGCAACATTTAGAACGCCGTAACTTGCTGAAAAATCATCGCAGATAAAAAAATCAAAAAAGCATTTGAAAGCTTGAAATCTCTACTTTTGATATCGGTAATTGATATTTCAATCTGACTGATCCTTAAGTGGAGCTATAAGGACACAAATGGATTTGTACAAATTCAGATTTGATGGCTATCCATTTGTGTCCATATCTCTCCACTTAAGGATCAGTCAGATTGAAATATCAATTACAAAAGTAGAGATTTCAAGTTTTCAAATGCTATTTTGATTTTTTGTCTACGATGATTTTTTACTGAGTTACGATGTTCTAAATATTGTAGTACAATTTTGAGCGTGTTCGAAAATGTTCCCTATTTTTTGTTGAGTAGTGTATATATCATCTATAATTATTAATATTGTTATACATATATGTACGAATTTTATGTGAAAAGGTAAAGTATTGAAATGGCAACAAGCTGTAGAACATGCTGATATAGAATGGAATAAAGTGTATCAGCAAGAACGTCATGCAAAGATTAAGATTGAGCAAAAAGAAACAAAAATATCGAAGTTAAAGGACAATTATACAAACGTGGCAAAGGATTTGGAGGATGTGAAAAAAAAATTAGATGAGCACAAATCGCAAATTAGCGTTAATGAAAAATTATATTTAGAGGGTCGGAAGGCACACATTGCTGTACAGAGAAAAATACAACAGATAAAAATAGAATGCAATATTATACTTAAAGAATGCAAGGTCTATGAGTTTTTAAAGAATCTAAAAGACTTGTTCTAAGAGATTTATTGTAAAAGATTTATTAAATATTGCATATTGGTTTGATCTCTCAAAATTAATTGTGTTTATTTTTACGATTTTAATACAATTATTTTTACAGATGGAAGATATTAATATTCCAATGTCGGAAACACATCGTAGGCTAGAAGAAAGCTTTTTTACAAGTAACTCATGTTCAAGTATAGAATTGTCAGAAGATTGTGGAATATTAACAAAAATTGATTTCTCGCAATTACCTGAAGAAATTTGCAATTTTACACAAGAAAAATTACGAGACATGACACTTCAACTTAATGAGAAGATTACAAAAATTGAGAATGAACTTAACGATTTAGTAAATCTTAAGGTATGTATTTATAATTTTACATAATATATGTTTAATGTTTATGTTAGATTTGTATTTTTAAAATTCAATTCTATAAATTTGGATAAATATACAGGTTGATGAAAAGATCGATATTATAAAGCAGCGAATGCAAAAAATAAATACGAATCTTCAAAACTATCGTAATAAATATGATGAAATAACAATGCAATTTGAATCAGTGAAGGCAAAGAGGTACAAATCGTTTTCAGATTGTCTGGAACGCGTTACTGCGGAAATAGATCATATATATAAAGTTAGTATTTATAATTATGTTTCAAAATTTTGTTTGTTATGTAGTTTGTTTTTTCGAACATTACAATTTTTATTTGATTTATCTTTTTATGCAGAGATTGGTTAACAACACATCGGCTCAAGCAATTATCTTACCAGATAATTTCGAGGAACCATATGCAGGCAATATAATTTACAACTGCATAGCACCGTATAAAGGCTTTCAGCCATTGCAATACTTATCTGACGGAGAAAAATCAATGGCTAGTCTGGCATTATTATTTGCAATTGAACGGTATATCTTAATCCTAAGATTAATGAAACGTTTTACATGCCTTTGGATGCTTACAATTAATATACAGATAATGACTGAACGTTAAGAGTTAAAAACATAAGGCCGCAGCACAAACTTTTGCATAACGCATAACGCATAGTACATAAGAGAATCAACCAATCAAAGTTCTTCTTTTTCATGAAGTGGAAGGAAAAGAAAAATTCAGAATTGGTTGATTCTCTTATGCGTTATGCATTATGCTTTATGCAAAGGTCTGTGTCGCAGCCCTTAATCTTTTTTTCTTTACAGTTATAAGCAAATACCGTTTTTCATTATGGACGAAGGTGACGCGGCATTAGATAAAATGAATATTAAGAATATCATTTCTTTTATTCGCTCCCAAGAAACCTCTATACAATTCATCACGATATCCTTACGCAAAGAATTATATCGTAATGCTGATGCACTTGTAGGAGTTACTGTTCAAGTAAGTTGATTAATTTGTGTTATTTAAAAATTTTTCACCATCGTGCATTTTATTATTGATTTCAGCATGACACAAGCTGCCCCAACAGTCAAGTATTTGCCATTTCATTAAATGGATATTTTAAGTCAAAGAAAAATTTAGCATAGTAATAATAATATAATATCACAATATTAAATAAAAAATGCCACTGTTATTAGAGTTATCGTTATGAATAATTTGTTTCTCTATATGTTATTTGGAGATACATTTTTCCTTTTAAATTTATCAAACGAGAATTGTAAGATATGAATTAAAGAAATGTTTTATAGATAGAATAGATTGAACAAATTTTCATATTTCAGATACAATGTTTAGACAAGTCAAGTTTTACCCGTTTGTTATAATTTTTGTGTAATTTTTTGTACACATTTATGTTAATTTTATTGTTAAACATATTGTATTAATTAATTTTATTTTATTTAAATTGTATAAAAAATATATTAAATTATTTATAATTTACGTTATAAATAAAATTTAAAACTAATATATATTATAAAATAAAAAATACATTGTAGTATCATAATGTGAAATAAAGTATCTTTGATGCAGTGTGTTTTATAAAAAATTATTTTTGTTTATTCTAATTTAAATGAATGTATATTTAATACTATTTGCATATATTTCCCTGAGATAAACTGTGACAACGTTATGCGTGCACATATGAAGGATACTCCACTATTTAGAGCAATTAACGTTATCTCCATTATTGCATTAGTGCTTATACTCAGATCTATAGTTTTTATTAATGTAAATTTAACACATTTATTTTAATAGTACAAAATATTAAGAATAAAAATGATTGAATACTGATTGTAAAAAAGCGTATCTTAGATTTTACTCTATATATTGTTTAATAATTAATTCAGATTTTATTTAATTTTTTAAAATATTTACTAATATTTGACATAAAGTCAATGTATTATTATATTAAATTAATTATTTTTTGAGATTCAATATTTAATAAAGAATTATTAGTTTATTAATTTTATTAATTAATTAAAAGATTTTGATTTTTACATTATCAAAATAATAATTAGAGTGGTCAAGTTATAAAATTTACCCTATATATAATATATGTGTATATATGTATATATATTTAAAATATTACAAAACTAATTTAAAACACTTGTGTTTATTGCATTTAATTATGAAGCGAGAAATTAATATAAATTTTTTCTTTGCAATATATATATATGTATATCAAAATAATTTAATCTTTTACATTACCTTTGGTTATATATACTTTACAAAAATTAGTAAAGTATATTTAAAAAATTTTATTTCAAATTATATATTAATGAAATCTTGATTACACAACTTCCATTTTACTAGAAATATTAAAGACGCGTACTCTGAATCTTAATTATATATGTATTGTATTTTCTAACGCAGAGGAATACAAAGAAATAGTTTTTGATATATTCTATTAATCTCTCTCTCTCTCTCTCTCTCTCTCTCTCTCTCTCTCTCTCTCTCTCTCTCAAGTGAACTCATAAATACATACAAAAAAATTATTTTTTTTCAATTCTATGTAAGCAAGAAGAAAGAAATACAATTTTTCGTTCTTAATGTCGTGATTTTATATGATCATAGTGAGAAAACGAGCCTCAAGAGCATATATAACATTTTTAATCAAATATCAATATGAATTCTGATAGTATTGTGCCAATTGCATTGTCCCGGTTGTCCCTTTTTTACACATAGTAGTAACTCTGATTTATAGTCGTCACAGTAACGAATGGAGGAGGTGCAGGTCAATGCAGTCTATTGCGGCTAACATCTTGTAAAATAAGACGCACGCTTCGGGAATGCGGCCAAAATGATGATTGTCGTTTAATAAACGTATTAAGTGGAAATGACAACATCTTGGTATCGGAGCCCAAGTGCTTCTTTGACGTTAACTGATAAAAATGAGGCAGAACGCTTATCGCAAACTAGGTCGTCGTAACTCATGTTTCAACGGATGAATTCGTGTTCAACGCAAGGATGCGTAGATGTAGCAAAACTGATTCACTCACTACTAGAAGGCTCCACAAAGTTATAAGTTTTCCTCTAAAAACCTTTGATTAAACGAAATAATTTGATAGTATACTTACAAGTTTGATAGTAGTTATACTTTGTTAGATCATGCAGGTAATATATAACTATTATTTATTTAAGTTGGCTAGTTACCTATTAGGAGTAAACGGAAATAGATGATGAATTAATTTTTATGTCAGCCGAATATAAATTAATTTTTATAGTTGAATAAAAGCCGAGAAAAATATGAACGAATAAATTTTGTTTGTATTATTTTTGGCTTTGAGATGTAAATTACCTACATCACAATTAGATCTCAATCCGTAGAAAATTTATGTTGATTAAAATATTGGGTGTAATGACAACGGCGCCACGCTGTGCATGTCGCATGCAACCCTTAAACGTAAGGTGATGACCTCCATTGCGCGATGTCCTACTGCTTCTAACAATATGCGGAATAATGGTTCTACGCTGACAATACTGACATGAACTCTCTTCCAGACTTCCATGAACTCACCGCAACATTATTTAGCGAGAACTTTGAAGATGTATGGTATTTAAATATAATTTTTACATTTCGTGTATTTATTGCAAATATTTGCAGCCAAAAATAAAACATTAATAATTAAATAATTATTATTTAATTTGAAATATTAATTTTAAATTAATTTACAATTAAATAATAGATATATATATTAATTAATTTTTATATAATAATATATTAATATACACAGTCTGTCTAAAAAGTCCCGAGACTAATTTTTTCCTGAACGTACAAGTAATGCCATTTTTCCGACAATTATGGCAACTTTTAATATCAATTAATATTCATACGTTTTTTTTACGGTGCTGTAGTATATTTTAAGAACCGAAATCTAATGAATATTTTTTATATAAAAAATATGTAAGTTTAGATTTTTTCCTTTGTAAAAATTTTCGTAATAAAATCGAGGGAGTAACCACTTAATGTAATCATGGTACAGAGTCCTCGAAATCATTATCAAATTCATATGAAATCTCTATGTATAATCCTATAATTACATATGCAACCATGAGAAATCATTGTATAATATTAAATAAAATCGTATATTTTACTAAATTACTTCATATGTAGTGAAAAAAATTATTTGTAATCAGATGAAATCATATGAAATCATATAATCTGTAGGACAATATTTCAGATAGGGGTTACTCCCTCGAATAAAATAGTGGGCTATTGTGAAATTTTGTCTAAAATTTAAATCTAGAAATTGGCCAACCTCAGATTCGCATTTTAAAACAAATTTTGTTTCAATATTCCTTATAGATTGATTTTTCGTGGGAAACAAAACTAATTAAAATAAAGGCGATAAAATTCAAAGTCAAGATAACATTTAGTTGTTTTCTTTGATGGCTTTTTGACTTCCGAAATGAAAAATTCAAAGAGAACGGGTTTTGACGATATTTTGGACATTTAATTGATTCGAAATAGCCTTTAATGTGATGAACGCATTGAAAGCTATCTCAAAAGATGACTATATAAAAGCTTCTAACTACTGAAAGACATTCTGAGTAATGTATTGATTGAAGTCAGAAGGGACTATGTTAAAAGTTTTCATTAATAAAATTGATATATTTTTGTTTTTTAATTTTTCCTCAATCCAGTCTTGAAACTTTTAGGCAGATTTTGCAAGTCAAAATCAAATGATCATAGTAGATACTAATCAGTACTTCCTCTGATAAATTTTTTTGCTTATCAAGACTTACGTTTGATTAAAAAATATATACACACACACACACATATAATATTTACTTTTATAAAATTAAATATCATTTAAAAGCAAGAAAAAATTTGGTCAAAAAAGAATTCTGTTGAATTCTATTTTATCCCTTAGTATTTGCAATGTATCAGCATTATACTTGATAATCTAATTAAAATAAAAAAATAATATTGATATAAATAACAAAAGTCATTTATTTCAAAATTTTACCTATGTATTTCCTGTCAAATAATTTTAAATGCATTTCAGTTTCTCTTTCCTTTCTTATTCAAAAGAAAGAAATAACATCATTGATAAATGAGAATAAACAAAGAAGGAAGGAAAGAAGTGTACAGGTCAGATGGAGGGACGGTAAGGGGGTGATCATGGAATAAGACAGCGGGAGAACCGCGTGCATCTTGTAAAATAGAGGATGATGACCTCCCCTACATCATACAGAACATCTGCTAAATAGATGACACGCCGGTTGTTATGAGTCTAGTTGCTTTCAGTCTTGCGATGCAAGCGAATCGGAATTAGAATCTATATTTTCTTCGTTCTCCAGTGAAGTTTTTCCACCCCTGCCGGATAGAGGGACTTCACGATGAGACGGCGGGCTTTAGAGCTGATCACGGGACTTCTCGTGGTCCAGCTGCTGTTGCCTTTGCCGGATCAAGTGAACGCCGTGAAAAACAGATTGAGGAAACAACGATCCAAACCGCAAGAGCATCAGGCTCAGCAATCTAGCAATAATTATGAATATGACTATAACTACGAGAACTACGATGAATACGATGAAAAGAATGGTGAGTGTCTTATGAATGTTCGAAAAAATTTCACTATACAAGCAATGAATAAAAAAAAGGAAAACTTTTAATAATATTTTCTTTTTACTAATTTTGTCTTTATCAATAAGAACACACGTATATATAGGCAACGTATCTAAGAATTTTTTAAATGATCGTGATTAGTATTACTTATAAAAATAATGAGTTTTGATTTTCGTTTAATTAATATTAAAAAATATCAGGTTACACAATATGTAACATATGCGAAATTTGTTGAATACTAATTTGATTTCTATGATCCAAATTAACACCAAATTAAAAGTATAATTAAAATTATTTTAAATAAAACAGAAATTTTGTATTACCACCAAATTAATGCTAAATATTCATAAAATGTTTTTAAAATCCTAAAATAATAATTCCAAAAGTAATCCGGAATATTCCGAAATACTTTCAGAATGTAAGAGTAACATTTAAATAATCTTTAAATATTCCATTTATGCATCGTAATTCTTATTATCTTTCAAAAGTCTTTTGAATTTTTGTATCATTTTTTATTGTCTTTTCCAATAATCTGCGAATTAAATTATTATTCTACTTAATAATAACTATAATAACAATTTTATTTAATTAATTTTACTTCAAAGTAAGTAAAATATAATTGTAAATGGAGAACAATTACTCAATTGTCTTGTTAACTGATTCGGAAGTTTTGCGTTACAGATTAATCTCGTTACAAGGGTCGCATAAAATAATTAATCTTGTTTTAATCTCTCTCAAAGTAATCTAATTAGTACCATTTATTTCAATCTATTAATTGCAAATCCAATTTAATACGACTCACAGTTATAAGAGATAGCTTCCGGTTTAGCTTTTGATTCTTCGCAGATATTAAAGATGCTATAACATTCGATAATTTACGTTATAGACATAAGTATATTATATTTACGTAGATATACATTAGATATACATTATATTTGTTTATATGCAATAAGTTCTCATTGGTAATAATAATCTTTTATTCTTTTTTCACTTAACAACATTAAGATATTATTTTTTAGAAACTACAACAGTATTGCCATCACGTGCAATACCATCAGATATCACGCAACTTTCGGGTAAGCAAAAGTTTTACATTATTATAATACGATAAAAAATTATTATCAAATTATTTAATAGTTATTGTAACTCAATTATTATAAACAATAATATATAATTATTAATTCAATGTAGAGAGATCCGAAATAACAACAGAAGCATTCTTGAGACGAGAAACACCTACAGACTTACCAGCTCCTACGACAACTCAATTTTATAATCATGGTAGATCAAGTATAGGATATGTAACATTAATTAGAAAATTATTTTTGTAATAAAAAAACAAGAGAATAAATAGATAATTAGAATAAAATACTTTTATTGATCTCTCGTGTTTTCTGAGATTTAAACTTTGATTATTTTACAAATTTAGAGGAGACTAGTTCCACATCTGCTCGGGATCATTCAGTAAGTACAAACTATTTGATAACAAAGAATTAAAGAAATCAAATTCTGTAAGGAATAGTGATTGTTAGTTTTTTTTCAGGTTTTGTCTACGGAGATTTTACCGGGTGAAAGTAACATATATAGTTCTGTGGCTGTACCAGGAATACGAGTTCGTAAACTTATAGTTACAATAAATAGTTATGTAAAAAATATATAACAATTTACAAAAAAGTAACATTTATAAATTAGGGTTCACCTGGTCGACCTGGAGATGCTGGTCGTCCTGGCGATTCAGGATATCCTGGACAACCCGGTACACCTGGGATCCCAGGGCCACCTGGACCTCCAGGACCTGTACCTGATGTAAGAAATCTTTTTATAAGTTAAAATTATTTTCGTTTATTTATATTATTTAAAGAGTGAATTATTATTATTAATATGTACACATATTCAATTATTGTATACCGCATAATTTATATAAATATATGATAATTTATTAATGTATTTAAAATATTGATAATAATAGGTATCTCTTTATTATCAACAATTGGCTTTGTCTCAAGCAAATGAAGATAAAGGTCCGACTGATGCAGCGGCATCATTGTATGGACCAGAGACATTACCTTATATTCAGGCACAAGTAGGCCCGATGGGTCCGCAAGGTTCTCCAGGTAGATGATTCTTTAATAATTTTTTTCAATTTATCTAAATAATCGTTGATCTTTTAAATTATTTTAATAATTCTATCTAAAATTATCGTTTTTAATGTGCTATTTAAAAATTATATTCTATCTTTCAATTTAGGTTCACCTGGTCCTCCTGGTCCTCAAGGTTTTCAAGGTACGCGAGGTGAAACCGGTGAACTGGGTTCTCCAGGCCCTCCTGGCATGCCAGGTCCTAGGGGTTTACCAGGATTGCCTGGAAAAGACGTAAGATTATTTTTAAATATTTTTATGTACTATTTAATTTATTTCTCATATTTAAAATTTATGTAATACTCTTACATTTATTTAATTTTATTTACAAACTACATATATATATATAATTCAATTATAAATTACATATTATATTTAAATAAAGTATTTTATATTTTATTAACGATAGGGTATTAGTGGAGAAGATGGCGAGACTGGTCTACCAGGATCGCCTGGTCCTGTGGGACAACGTGGCCTTCCAGGAATACCTGGGCTTCCAGGGCTGAAAGGTCACCGTGGTTTTCCAGGTCTAGATGGTGCCAAAGGTGAGCAAGGAATTTCTGGTGAAAAAGGATCTATGGGCTCGCCTGGATCGATGGGACTAGTAGGACCGATGGTATGTAAATAATGCTATTCGAATAGGTATGTGTATAAAATTATAAAATAAATTTATAAAAATACACTCAACAAAATTAAAGCATCATCTGTTCCACCCTGTATAAAAATAAGCAAATTTCAAGATGGAATAACTTCGTAAAAAATTATCACATCAAGATGTTTAAAAAAGTATTTTAAAATTTGAAATCTCTACTTTTCAGATCGGTACTTTAGAAAACGGTCTTACTGATATTTTATAGAGTTACACAAATATATAAAAGAAAATGCATCAAATCTCAAAATTTTTTACGAAATTTGCGAAGTTCCACGGCGCTAATTAAAAATTGTACACAAATTGTGCACAATTGTACAATATGCAATTTTTAATGAGTGCTGTGGAACTTTGCAAATTTCATAAAAAATTTTAAGATTTGATACATCTTTATTTATATTTGTGTAACTCTATAAAATATCAGTAAGATCGTTTTTTAAAGTAATAATCTGAAAGGTAGAGATTTTTCAAGCCGTAAAATGTTTTTTTAAACATCTCGATACGATGATTTTTCACAAAGTTATTCCATTTTGAAATTTGCCCATTTTTACATGGTGGAACGCTTTAATTTTATTGAGCAGTGTATATTGTATTCTCATGAGGTAAATTTTAATGTTAAAAACATAGAAATAAAATATTTTTCTGTATAAATATTGGATATTATTGACACAGGGTCCAGCTGGACCTCGCGGCGAAAGAGGTAGAGAAGGTTCGCCGGGTCCTCCTGGATTGAGAGGCCTCGACGGAATTGCTGGGTCGCCTGGGCAACCCGTAAGTAAGCTAAGCAATTTAGAGATTGAAATACTGCATATATTAAGGTATATCTCAAAGTTTTTTGAAAAATTTGTAATTCTTTACGGATATTTATGAATCTGATTAATGTTTATTTATTTAAACATATATACTTTCATATTTATTTAAATGTATCTAATATTAATATTGTTTATAGGGTGTTATAGGTAAACCTGGCTCACCAGGTTTTCCAGGCAATCCTGGAATTAAGGGTGATCAAGGACTGCAAGGACCGACAGGAAACCAGGGTTTGCAAGGTCCGCGAGGTAAGATATTTTAATTTTCATTTAAATGAAAACATAAGTTGCTGATTAGTTTTATGTTATATACATTTGAGAAGATACCCGCACACCTTTCATTGCAAATATATATTAAATATGTATTTGATACATGATTTATACGTATTGTTACGAATCTGCTATATAGCTATAACATTGCAAATTTTATGTATCTGCTACGTATTTGAAATCTAAAATGCGGGTAGTTTTATTTATTTTCTTGATTTTAATTAATATTTTATATCAAAGGCGAAAGTGGCCGTCCAGGACAACCTGGTGAAACTGGTCCACAAGGTCCTCAAGGCAAAGATGGAATTCCGGGTGAGAGAGGAGCCATTGGAGCAATAGGACCCGTTGGTGTAATCGGGTTTCCGGGTGCTCGAGGTCAATCTGGAACACCGGGTAATCCTGGTATTCCTGGCGCTAAAGGAGCACCTGTGCGCATAAATACCAACAAGAAATAGTTCAAGAACTTTTTAAAAGTTACTTTTTATAAAACCTTAATGATAACCTTACAGGGCCTTCCTGGTGATAGAGGTTTGAAAGGAGACACTGGAGTGAAAGGTGATGCAGGAATACCTGGTCCGCGTGGACTTCCGGGACCTCCTGGGAATGAGGGCAAAAGAGGCAAAAGAGGTATGCGTGGACCAACTGGCTCTGTAGGACCTTCTGGAGAACGCGGCGTACCTGGAGAACGTGGTCTTCCTGGATCGGATGGTCCTAGCGGGCCTCAAGGTATTACTTATTAAATGTTATATACATGTAGGTATATATATAAATCTCTCTTCTATTTACTTTTTTCAAAAGATATTAATAAAACAAAAAAATATGTTTATAATAAATTATTTTAAAAATGCAAAATTTGAAACGATAATATTTACATGTAACATTTTTTAAAATAATTTATTATAAATATATTTTTTTGATTTTCTTCGCCCGTTTTACGTCTATGCGAAAATCTATTTTTTTACATTCAAAATAAATTGATTTACAAAATTATCAGAATAAGTGATGTTGAATTGATCTTGCCTTCAACGGCTGGATCAACTGCGATCTTGTTATCATTGCTAGATCGGTTAGATCGGGAACGGTGCACTTGCACACAGTTCAATTGCACACATCACTCACATCGGCCGATTCCTAGTAATTTTTAACTGCTTTATCAATGAGATTATATTATTTTAAATTAGCCAATTAGCGATGTGGGCAATTGATATACACCCGGCTGGTTCAACCTTCTTAAAATACTGGGCCTCGCAAACCTATAATTCAATAATATATTTAGACTTTGATTTCACCCCCTTCCTCCTAGTTTTGATAATAATTGTTATCTTAACTTGAAAATTCTCTGTGATTAATATCTCATTATATATAAGGTAAAATTTGGCACACAGTTCACTTCCAAAATCGAAGGTCCAAAACGGGCGATTTTTTTGGTTACTCTTTCAACTTTTAGATATTTGGTTTATGATAAAATTAAAAAAATTTTCTCTAATGTATGTGTGTGTGTGTTTTATGACACATTCGTACAGTTTCTATGTTTTAAAAAACGCAATATGATAATTATAATAATTATAAGTACAATAATTGTCAGGGCAATCTGGTGATCGTGGTCCTCCGGGAGCTGTTGGATCAAAAGGCGCTACTGGAGATCCTGGACGACCCGGACCAACAGGATTACAGGTATAATAACGTTGTAACAGGTATAATAACATTGTAACATATTATTGTGAAAGTATTATATATGATATATAACTATTGAATAAAAAATTTAGGGTGCACGTGGTTTAATGGGTAGACCCGGAGCCTCCGGGAAAACAGGTAATCCTGGGGAACGTGGAATTCAAGGTGCGGATGGCAAGCCTGGAGAACAGGGACTGCCTGGATTGCAGGGTCTACCAGGACCAATAGGAACACCAGGGGAAAGAGGATATCCTGTAATTGATTAATGATTCTCCGTAACGAGTATACACTCTAACAAATATAATCTATAATATAACTTGAACATAAAAATGTTTTCGTGTACAATATAAAAATAAAGCTTAACAATGTAAGTATTAATACAAATATTAATATTATACTATATTATCTCTAATCCCTGGTGAAAATATTTCGCTGAAATTATTCCATGTTTTGGAACATTTCAACGAAATTGCTGAAAATTTGCTGAAATTTCACTGAAAGTAAATTTTTCAGCTAACATACTGAAAAAACGTTGAAACTGAACTGAAATTACTTTGAAATTTCTCTGAAATTTTGTTAAAATTTTTTTGAAATTTTTGCTGAAATTTTGCTAAAAATGAATTTTTCAGCTAAAAATCACTGAAATTAAATTGAAAATTTTCTGAAATGCTGAAATTTTGCCGAAAAGTGTTCTAAAACATGGAACAATTTCAGCGAAATTTTTCCACCAGGAATACTATGATATTTTTTCAAACTTTTATTGTATTAGGGAGAACGTGGAAAAGATGGTGAGCCTGGCAATGCAGGTCCGCCTGGCCCAAGAGGAGATACTGGTAAAGAAGGACCTCCAGGAGTACAGGGTCTACCAGGTCCACCAGGAAGCGACGGCGCGCGAGGTCTTCTGGGGCCCACTGGTCCTAGAGGTTTTCAAGTACGTAGCGTAGAAATATACTGTAATTCTCTGTAATGTAGAGGATAAAATATAATTTATCAAATAAAATATGTGCTTGTATATACACAGGGTCTTCCAGGCGCCGCCGGTAATCCAGGTGTTCCAGGCAAGGATGGAGAAGCAGGAGTACAAGGACGTCCCGGTCCGCCGGGAATGGTCGGCGATAGAGGCGAGCGAGGATTTCCGGGAGAAAGAGGACTTATTGGACATCCAGGACCTGTAGGACCTAGGGGAGAAACCGGAATACAAGGCTCTGATGGTCTCATCGTACGTCTTATATTCCGATTTTGAATATTTATATTATCTGGATCGAGGTGCATTCCAAGTTAAGCATGAAGCGCATGATGTATCATTTGTCTTTGTTGCTCACCTAATTATAAAGAAGGATAAAATGGTACATCATGCGCTTCATGCGTAATTCGTCACGTATGTTTTTTTTAAATTAAAGGGGAAAGTTCGAATTTTATGCTGCTGCAAACGGCATTCTCCCAAAAAATTTTAGAAAATCCGTGCATTCTGTCAAACTTCGCAATTTTCAATATGACAAACACACCCTCATATTTTGAGAGTTACATTAGTAAGTGCATTAAACTTAAACTCTGGCCATATAACGTCTTAAAGTAGAGATTTCAAGAAAAAACGTTATCCTACGATAATTTTTCGCAAAATTATTGTCAGTCAAAATTGACCAATTTTTGCCCAAAATTTTTCTATGCCATAATTTCTTTGAGCAATATATATCACTATGAGATATATATGTGTGAAGTTTATGTATTTATACATTATTCCAGGGTTTACCAGGATCCAAAGGAGACAAAGGAAGTTTCGGTTCACCGGGATTATTAGGACTTCCTGGAGCGAGAGGATTACCTGGAGAATTTGGACAGAAAGGAGAAAGGGGTACAATCGGACCAATCGGCCCCGAAGGTCCCTCAGGTAGCATTTTATGTTATTTAAATTAATTTTAAAATATAAACAATTACAATTTGATATAGACCAATAAGAATAAATCTAATTAAATAAGAGAAATGCTATTTTTCAGTTGTAGCAGATCTTAGCGGTCAAATGTTTCTATATGAATTTATATATATAATTTATATACATAATTTTACAAACCGTGAGCCGAAATCTTTTTCGGTCTTAAAACGCAATTATGAATAGAACTAGAATAAAATATCACATACTAAATTGACAAACAATTTAATAATTTTTAGTGCTAATAATAATATTGTCATAATATAATCATATTTTATTAAAAATAATTTTTAAAAAATATTAATACCTTTTTATTTAAATATTATAGGACATATTGGAGAGCGTGGTCCACAAGGAGAAGTTGGACCTTCTGGCCCTCCTGGAGAACCAGCTGAACGAGGTGATCCAGGTTCTCCTGGTCCCATTGGCGAGCCCGGAGCTCCTGGTAATCCAGGAGAAAGAGGACCTCATGGATTACAGGGCTCGCAAGGTTTCCCAGGCCCACAAGGGTTAATCGGACTTCCGGGTCTGAAAGGTGATCGTGGATATCCGGGTTTAAAGGGAGAACAAGGAAATCCGGGACTACTTGGTAATAAACAAATAATAAATAATTCTAAACTGTTAATAATAACTGACATAATTGTTTAAGAAATATTTTATGTTTTTATTACATATGTATAATATAATTACTATGTATTATTTACTATAGACTATATATCTATACTATTATAAACTATACAAGGTGATTCGTATTAAAGTGACCAATTTAATTATTAGCGAAATTTGAAGATACATGAAAAACTATAATTTATATCAATATGTTCAATACAAAGGAAGATATCACATAATGGAAATAATTATTTATTATGAGTGGAGGCGTTGGGAACATTCAGGGTCAACTTCATTTTTTTTAATGGAATTATATGAATTTTTTACATAATATGATTCCTCTAATTATTCTGTATATACATAGAAGTATTAAGGTAGAGGTATCAAAAAATCAATAGTTTATGAGATATGTTATATTTTATTCTGGCACATAAAATGTTAAATAACTAATAAACTATTAATTTTTTTATAATCACACCTTGGTACTTTGCAATCTGTGTCGCGACACAGATTGGCTGTATAAGAAAATAATGCTCATCAAAGATTCACCTCTTCAATCCGGCATTCGCTGATATAGGCTCCTCGAAACAATGACTGCGTTCAGCAGAGAAAGCAATTATTGTGAAATTCTTCAGTATAGTTGGTTTATTTAGATTCATTATATATAAATTGATTAACAGGCAGTCGCGGCGAGATCGGAGCACCTGGACCTATTGGACTTACTGGTGCTAAGGGAATCAGAGGTGATCCTGGTATACGAGGTGAAGCCGGTTTAATGGGCCCACCTGGTATTATAGGACATGTTGGACCATCAGTAAGTCGTTAATCTCCATGTATTATATTAAATTTTAATAAACAGATGTATACGCGTGCGTACACACACATACACAATACATATTATGAGATAATTAGAACATCAGAAACAAAAGAGTAAATAAAGCATTGGACTAAAAATATTACAGGGACCACCAGGGAATATAGGACCACTTGGTGCTCCCGGATTACCTGGTGTCAAAGGTGATGCCGGCGATACTGGACATCCTGGAAATCCAGGTCCAATCGGTAACCCTGGTCTACCTGGAATCGATGGAATTAAAGGCGAAAGTGGATCTCCAGGCTCTCAAGGACCGACAGGTTCTCAAGGACCTCAAGGTCCGCCTGGCGAAAGAGGTTTATCAGGTCTACCTGGTTCCCCTGGTCCTATAGGGAATAGAGGGTTACGCGGAGCTCCCGTAAATAAAAATATATAATTATATTTAAAGAAAGAAACTTATTAGGCCGTGTGAATACACAACTAATAAGAAATAAAAGTCTTTAACGGTCAAAACTGGATCTTAAGTGTTTAAATAATTTGATACTATATATGTCATCATAAAAATTGCGTGCCAAATTGATTTTTCGGACTTTTAAAACGCAATTTTGACAGAACTATAGTAATAATATCATAATTTGATGCTTATAAACATCATAGAAAGATTTTAATAATGCTGATAAACTTATTAAAATCTGTAAATAATTTTATTACGAAAAATATTACTTCGACCGAGAATCGAACCCGAATCTCCCGCTTGTCGAACGAGTATCCTCAGGCATCGAGATTTGATAGTCTGTGAGGACATTTGTCCGGCAAGCGGGAGATTCGACGCGCAATAGTCATGATGACGTACGTATCGAATTATTTAAGCACTTCGATTCATCTTCGATCGTTGAAAGTTTTTATTTCCTATTACGTAGTTATACTTAAATTATTTTTTCTATTATATTTATAATTACTTTTATTTTTATTGTATTATATATGTATATATATATATTTATAATTATTATATTGTGTATAATTACTAAATTTTTCCACTTTAAATAGTTTAATACAAAATAATTTATTTTTATTACAGGGTGAAATAGGACAACCTGGAAAAATAGGAGCAGAAGGTCCGCCCGGACCTCCTGGATTAATAGGTTCTCCAGGTGTTCCAGGTCACACAGGAGAAATAGGACCGGAAGGACCAACTGGAAAACCAGGACCACCGGGTATAGGAGGCCGACCAGGTGACAAGGGACCACCTGGAGTACCTGGTGCTGCAGGACCATCAGGTCCTCCTGGATTACCTGTACAACTTTTGTTTTACCTTTCTTTGTATAAATATGATAAAGTAATAATAATTATCAATAATAATTTATTTCTTTCCTTTTAATAGGGACAATCTGGTCCCACCGGATCTATCGGACTCACTGGAGAACGTGGTCTGAAAGGTGAAACAGGATTGCAAGGTGTGGAAGGTCCACAGGTAATGGGCTTTCAACTAAATTAATGTAACTCTAATAAGTTTGGAATTAATTAAAATTAAAATTAAAAATTAAAAATTAAATTAAAAATATTAAATTAAATTAAATTAATTTTATACATATATAAGTCGGTTTTTAAAAATAAAATTCTTGTAATTACGATATAATTTATATAAGAATTTCATCTTGAGCACATATACACATATGTTCTAATATTTTCAGGGACCACGAGGAAAACCCGGCCCAGCAGGTGTTGAAGGTATAAAGGGGGATCACGGAGAAGAGGGACAGAAAGGAGCTAAAGGACATCGGGGATTTACTGGTTTACAAGGATTACCCGGGTCTCCTGGTTTAATAGGAGAAAAAGGTATACCTGGTCTGCCAGGACTTCCCGGTAAAGACGGAGAACCAGGTATTAGAGGTAATCCTGGACGAGAAGGCAATCCAGGTCCCATCGGACCTGCGGGAAATCCTGGACCAAGAGGTCCACTTGGGGAAGAAGGTCGCCAAGGATCACCAGGTTTTCCAGGACCTCCTGGACCACCAGGTCCTCCTGGAGAAGTGGGTTTCGGTTATGATGCGGCGTCTTTAGCAGCATTTATAGGTATAGCTATAATTAATCCGAATTCTAATATATTTTTGAAGGTAGTTAATTCCACGGACATCATATAAAAAATTTCTAAAGAATGTCACCAGAACATCATCTAAATAAATTTAAATGTATGGTTAGATTTAGTTAGATTTTTCTATATTATTTAAGTTTTTAATTTATTAAAAATAATTAAATGAAAAAATTTATTTTTATTTAAATTATAAATTATTATAATGTTAAAAAATTATTTATTATTTAGGACAAGGTCAAACTAAAGGACCAGATCCACTTGGAGATGAACCACCAAGAATATTTAGTAAAGATATCACTGAAAAGGAACGAAGAGAATTACTTTTGAAAGCGTACGAAAATTTAAAATCGTCGTTTCAAAAATTGATGAAACCGGATGGTGAAAAAAATTCGCCTGCTAAAACTTGCCGAGATCTATTTGTTGCTTACCCGGACAAATTATCTGGTAAATCTTAAAAATCACATACTTATTCATAACTATTTTTTCATAACTATTCTTTATGTTTATTTTGATTTTTAAACTTTGTTTTTTTCAATAATAAAAGTAAAAAATACATAAAATTATATAAAATAATAGATATATAAGACTAATTAAATTTCTTTTTAGGAAAAATCTAAGTTGAAAAAAGTTTTAATTGAAAAGCAAATATTAAGAGTGACAAATATATAGTATTAATACATATTTTTTATTTGAACATTTAAATAAATTTGTGCATTAACAGGTGAGTATTGGATTGATCCAAACGAAGGAGATGTTCGGGACGCGATCTTAGTCTATTGCGATGCCGAGAAACGTGCAACTTGCATTTTACCAAATCCATCGCGTTCACCAGAGATCACTCACATCACTGATCAACAGGAAACTTGGTTGAGCGAGATAGATAACGGCATGAAGGTTGTATTATATTCTTTATATTACTTCTAATTCCACTTCTGTTAATTGTTACAACAAAAAATATACAACGCATTACTAGATAAATAATGATTATAAAATAAATTTAATTATTTCATTCAGATTACATACAAGGCAGATAGTAATCAAATCGGTTTCTTGCAATTGCTCTCAAAACATGCGAATCAGAACATCACGTATCATTGTAAAAACAGCGTGGCTTACTTTGATTACGAGAAGAAATCGTACAAAAGGGGCTTGAAGCTTTTAGCTTGGAACGATGTTGAATTGATACCACGAGGTAATCAGCGTCTTAGATATGAAATGATAATGGATGAATGCAGGGTAAGTCAATTTTCGAGCGCAAAATTTTAACATTACTAGTCTATTTGCCATAGACGAAGACTTATGGGTCAATTCTAAGCAGAATCGTAAGACTCGTAACATGTTCTCGAAAAACTTTTAAGAACTTATGACTAGTATTCTATGTGTATGTATCGTAAGATGATTATTCATAAATATCTACGATTTCTATAAGTAAATTTTATGGCTAGTAAGAAACTGTCTATAAAAATATTGTATAAAGATATAAGCACTTAAAAATTCTTATAAGTCTTACAAGAATGTGTTACGAGTCTTACGATGTAAATAGTTTTAACATTTCAAAATTTGATATCTCTTATTGATTTTCCATTTTTATAAATAATTATATTTAATGCATTAATTATAACTTAAATCATAGAATACAGATGTTTGAATTTAAGAACACTAAATATATACGTAGGAAATAAACATAATATACACACACAAGACAATATTACATTTTTTAAATAATTTTATATGTATATTTATTAATTCACAGATCTATCGAAACCACTGGGGTAAAACCGTTGTCTCATACGAAACGGATAAACCCGTAAGACTTCCTATATTAGACGTGGCTCTGCGAGATATCGGAAAACCCGAACAGAGTTTTTCTATTGAGATCGGTCCAACTTGTTATGATTAAAACAAAGTAAGATATTGTGACATTACTTTATCTTACGTTTATGTTATAATTTTCCATTTCTTAAAAATTTCCAATTTTAAGGACATAACTACATACATATACACATATATATATACATATATTAATTCTGTCTAAAGTGATAATTACTAAAAAATTACTAAAAATAATTACTCAAAACGTTAGGTATTTAATTTGTAATAGCTTTGTATATGTCGGTATTTTTTATGCAAATTCTCAAGCAGAGGAAATACAATAATTTAGAAATATATATTGGATTGAGTAAAAACTAATTTCGTATTTTTATGTCAAATACTATACATACAATATTTTCGATAAAAATGAAAAAAAATTTAAACTAAAAAAAGGATTTTAAAGTTTGAAATCTATACTTTCGAAAAGTCACTATGCTTTCTAAGTTTATGTGAGTTGGGTAATTTTTACATATGTATGAAAACTGAGCTGAAAAAAATGAAAAATGTTCTTCTCACATTGCAAGCCTGTCACGTGCCCAAAAAAATTTGCAAAAATTTTCGATTATCTAACGTGAAAGCTTAAAGTTTTCCCTAAAAAATTGTTAAAAAATAATCCTACGATTTTGTTATACTGAGTTACTTGTGGATTATATAAAGAGTATTCTAACTTTGATTGCTCCCCTCCGTTAAAAATCATCGTGCCACACTTTAAAATGTTTGAAGTGAAATCTAACTCTAAAGAGTGAAATCTCACTCTTAAAAATTGACAATTGAGCCACTTTTTTTCAATGCTGGTTCAATTGTCATTATTTTGTATTAAATTTCACTTCAAAGATTTTAGAGTGCACAATTTAAAAAACAAATTTTTAAAGAGCTAAAACTTTGCTCTATCATATCATATAATTAATTAAAATTTATTTTGTGTTTCAAAAAAATTATGTTTTATTTCACTCTAATAAGTAGAATAAACTTTTTACTCAAATCAATATATGTATATATATTTAACATAATTATCTTAATTATATTGCATTTTTTATTTTTAGGACGAACGCAAAACTAATTTAAAAAAGATATGGAATTTGAACAGATATATCGCTTGGATATTTTATAATACCAATTAGAAAAATTCTCGGAGTACTTAAATATTTTTCAATCAAATATTAAATACCTGAGTATTTAAATGTAAAAGTATCCGCGTAATAACTATGGATTTACTCAATGCGCACTATGCCAAAGTATTGTGTATTGTACATAATGATAAGTACATATAGATAAGTTTCATATATAAATACAGCGTTTATTATTCTGTTCAGCTATTTAGGAAAAATAAAATTGTGCATTATCAAAGTTATACTCATTTAATATTCTATTCTTACCTACTATCTTATAAGTGCATAATATTATTTAATATGAAGTAATATTTTAAGCATATTCTTAGAATATTAAATGTGTAACATTTTAATAATTTTTACTAAAATTATATAATATTATATGACATTCTCGAAATATTAATGGAAGGTTATATGTCCACTCCTGATAATATTATATGATTATTAAAAGTATTATAACATTTATTTAATGTTACTGTAATATAAATATTAAAAAGTATTATAACAGCACACACACATTTACTTTAATTTGTAAAACTGTTATATTTGTTCAGTATAAGTATATGTTTAAAAACTGAAAATGATTTTGGCGCGCAGTTGTAGAACTGAATATGTACTTATAAAATCACGTCGAAACGTTTTTTTAGCACAAGATGCAGCAGACTGATAAGAAGAATTTTCGTTACTGGATTGTGAATTCAAATAGCATTAATTAAAAATAATTAATATTTATAAGTATTTTAATAATATTTCAGGAATATTAAGATATAATATCTATTATATAAGTGGACATATAACCTCTATAGAATACTCCCGTAATATTAAAAATATATTTATGATATTTTCGAAATATATTATAATAACATTATTTTAATTTTTTAATAATATCCATATATAATATTCTAGGAACATTTTGCTCTTATAAGGTATATTTTATCGCTATATATGGAAGCATTTTCCAGCATGTATTTTTTTTGCCAATTTATAAAGTTTTATATTTATTTTTTCATTTAACTTTTAGAAGGCGGAAGTCTATTTTTAAAATCTTATAGCTTCCCAGACAACACGAAGTCTAAAACTGTGACATAAGATAGTGACGTCTTTAAGTCGTCTTTTACAAAATTTTTAGCAAAAAACGACCCGATTTTAGACACTTTTTGTTGTCTAGATTTTCTTTGAATAAGATTTATTATACTTAATTCATTATTAATTCTATGTATTTCTTACCTCAAAATATGACATTATTTCAACGCTACTATGATGATTTTCCTGTCATGTAAAGATTAACATATATTAACAGTGAAACATAATTTTTTTAACTAAAAAGAACAAAGTTCTTTTCTCTTCATAATTATCATTTCTTCTCTCGTTCTTTTTTATCTTTTTTCAAAATATGAACGTATGCTTACTTCATTCTCATAATCAGTACAAGAAATATACGAAAGAATATTTTCTATTCTTAAAAGAATTTATAAAAGAAACATTTATTTTAACTAAAAACACATTAAGCAATATATTTTATGTGTAAACTACGTTATCTACTGAATAAGTTCCATTTGATCACGGATTCCGACCATTCCCACGTATTTATATAATAGCTGCTATTGTTGACGCATGCGTGGATGGAACTGATGGAACATTCCTCACGACATTAAGGCTGAGGTCCACTTGACGCTACAAACGCTTCGAAGCATTTGAGCGACCAATCAAAACAAAGAATTTTACGAATTGACTAATCAAAGAATGCTTCGAAGCGTTTGTAGCGTCAAGTGGATCGCAGCCTAAATACACTGACCAATGGTGTATCAAAACAATTTGGCACCCGGTATGAGAACGGAATCTGTACGATGTGTATAATATATATATATATATAATTGTACAAAATTTATATTTACAATCATTTTCTTAAATTGACGCTTCATTTTATTTAGTACAGTAATTGTGACAAAAATATTTCTAAAATATTATTTATTTATATCTTAACTACTATACATATATATATTATCTACTATACATATATAGATATACACACACATATATATATTTTTTGTATTATTAAAATGTATATCATAAATATTACCATTTTAGTAGACAAGACAAAAACTCGGTTCCTTTTTATTTATATTAAACATTCTATACAATGGTTATTATCTATAAATTATGCATGATAACACAATTTATAATTATAATTTATAATCATATTACAACTTTTTTTATGATACAATAAAATATCAGTATATTAAGACGAACAAATTCAATATCTGATGTCATTCTCTACTGTGCGCTATTCGTGCTGTAACGATGGCGAAAGGGAGTAACTGGCAACTGCGAAGTGCGACGTGCGCGGTGCGATGGCGAGTGCATGGCAGTACCTATAACTCCCAACTCCCGTCGCTTCAGTCTTGTTCTGAGCTCCGACCGTTTTGGTTGTTACCCGTCGTGTCCATGGTGAAGAACGAAATTGAGACCATCCAGTAACGAAAGAAACGCGCGTCCGTGAAAATCTCACCGTCAACGTCAACGATGATATATTCGTTCACGGTTAAATTAGATTCCCAGGTACGCATCTCGTATCGAAATACACGTGGCAGTGTTTTCTGCTTCAACTGCGCGTCCTGCCGGACAGCCTTTATCGATCCTTATAAAGCCGTTTTCGCGCGCAATTTTTCCCACGGGCGACAAGTATGGGATAAAAGAGAAAATCGGTTATAAGTCGTGAGTTAACAAGATCGAAGTTGATCCTATTCGAGTTTGTCTTCGAGTCGCCGCTGACTCGTAAATGAAAGCCTTTTACTGCTTATTGCCGCGGCGTCAGTAGTTCATTGTATTCAATCGTCATTGCCCTTGGCGACGAAAGAATTATTTGGTCATTTCTAAGCGGTGCTTTAGAGCGATATTAGGTTCTGTCGTTTCAAAAAAATTTTCATTGCTATTAATCAAAAGCATTTAGCTTTTTTAATAAAAATATTTAGTATAATATAATATTATATACGATTTATATAGCATAATTGTAATAAATATTTAATATAATTTAATTATAATTCACAACAAAAAAATACAAGAATTAATATATATCGAATAAGAAAGATTCATTGAATAATTACAGCAATAAAATCGCGACGAAATTAATGACGTCTGTGAAAGAAATAATAAGTTTGTAGTTAAAAAAAAGACATAATTTTCTTCAATGTGACTTTAACAATAAATCAAACTGTCATTTGACGACGTAATGTTTACCGCTAACATTGACATGTTCGGTCGTGCAGTGTAAATCGACTTATAAGTGACAATGTGGATACCATGTTCTATACCGAAACAAAATTAGAAAGAGAACTCTGCCAAATTCAGTAAACGCATGTTATAGAAGAGGTGTGACTTATCAATCTGTTGTCGGACTATTCATAAATACTATAACGAAAATGCGCCTCGTGTAAATTTATCTTACATGTAATTATACCTGTTGCCGTTCATCTGTGTGACGTAATAAAGGACATCTGTACGATATCATTTATCAGATATAATTTTAGTCAGAATTGCAAATGTGACGTTTTTTTCGATACCAATGAGACTTTTCAAAAAAGTAGAAGACTAAAGAATACAGGATATTTCGGGGAAAAACAATAACGCGAATAACGGAAAAATTGTTAATGTAATAAAATTTTGCGTTATACATATACTATATTATATAAGTTATAAATATAAAATTTTTACGCGAATACTGATAAATTATTTTAAAAGAAAAAACAATAAATCTGCTTTTTTTTTAAGAACATGTGTCACGAAAAAAATACCAAAATTTATATTTATTTATAAATTAAAATTGTAATCTTATCATTGAATTTTGACGCGAAATTTATCATCCGATTTTTATATTTTTTCTATAATTTTTTTTATAATTATCACATAATTAAAACGTACGATTATAATGATGTAACATTTCTTGCAATTGTGCGCTTATTGTGTAAATTAGATAAGATCACGAATAATTGCTTTTCATAGAAGTGGGAACTTGAACGATTCTTGAAATATCTAACATAACTCTTTGACGAAAGGTCGAAAATTGTTGCGAATGTCACGGTAGAATTATCTGTCATAGTTCGATCAATAGTTTTTCTTACCTGATTGAAATAATTCATTTTAGCAAAAATGTCTGACAATATAGACAGTTGTGTGACGAATGTCATGGAATCAGCGAGTTGTGATTAATTTTATCAACCGTCCATAGATACGTAATTGAAGTGATTCACACATTTGCAAGTGGAATAATGTTTGCAAATGTAAAATTTGTACCCGGAAGTGCCCTGTTAAGATAATTTGAAGTAAAGTGCTTTCTCTCATTGATAATAGAAATATCAGATACGGTCAGAGAGCGGTTAGTGGGAAATGTTCGATATATAATAGAAAAATTTGCAAATATTATCTCTATAGTCTTCAAGGAACTTGGAAGAATGAATTTGAATTTATTTAATTAAAAATTACGTGCTTTCTTTTTCGAATTTATTAGATTTAAATTCAAGTAATTTATATTTTTTTAAATGCTAATTTTATTTGAGAAGTGTGCCACATAAAGAATTAGTTATAAAAGAAAAGAGAATATTGAAATTAATAAATGATAATGAACAATTATAACAGTTAAAATAGCTTTTCTTTATTTATAATGTACGAATTAAAATTTACAAATTATTGTTTCGGAAATATAGTATATTAGTAGTTATATATAGGTATTAATAATTACCTGATTTAGTGACTAGCTACTCTATATGTGGCATTTCTTGTTTATATGATTGTAATTAAAGACAAGGATTCATATTCCTGTATGACATTACACAGCGCTTAGTAGATAATTCGCTTGGTTTTATGTTTTTCTTATCTTGTATTTGATATATGATTGTTAAACAAAAGATTAAAAATGAGATAAAGAGAGTTAGCGTTAAAAGTGTAGTGTCAATGAAAAGAAAACCCTACATAAATGTTTTGAGGATTACATTCGTGGCGCAAGTCTA